AGGGGGGGGGGGGGCTCATGGCCATACTAAGAGAGGAGGCACTTGGTATCTAGGAGCCAGGTCCTGAGAAGGCCCCTCCTCTGTCCCCCCTACAACGACTATCCAGGGGATGCTGACACCCTCCAACAGCAGTTCGAAAGAAAACACTAACAGTGCCCACCATATATCTTTTAGCTCAAAGTAGAACAAGGGCTAGGCAGCGAGGTTGTAGGCTCAAGGGCTTTTCCTAGTTGCCAAAAGCTCCACAGCTAACCTGACAAAGAGGAGTAAGGCTGGCCAGGGAATGGATGACAGTGGACATTCCTGCCTCTGGCCATCTAGTGACTCAAAATAGGCAAGGGCCAAGGGCAGAGGGTCATGTAGAATGCAGGGTCACCTTGTGGGGGATCAGGATTACCCCTGGGATTTCCTACAGCAGAGGTTGGCAAGCTAGAATATGGAGATCAATCTCAGTGAGGTTGCCAACATCTAACCTAGAGTTGGTAGCCCCCAATTACCTAGTTACAAACCTGTTCTCCCACGATATGCCCTTGAGTTCTGCCAGGATGCATTCTACACGTGGGGACAGGATATTCCACGCCTTAATGGCCTGAGGTAAATACCTAAATTTCTCCAGCACCTACGCAAAGAAGGTCCTATTAGAAGGCTGGTTCAGCCAGACAACCCACCCCCACCCCTGTAGGATCCCTTCCCATAGGACCTCTCAGCTTTGCCCTTCAGGGGATAGGGCAGGGCATGCAGGTGTAGGCCCATACCTCCTCTATTAGCCCTGAAACCAAAAATAACCTGACCCTCAAATACCAGACTTTCTCCTCCTCTTCCCACCCCCATCCCTCTACCAAATTCCCTGTGGCTCCCAATCACCAGATACCACAATACTGAGATGTCCAATAGGGGCATTTGGTTGGATATGGAAAGAAACCCTTGGACTAAGGGGTGGCAATGGTTATTGAAGAAAGAGAATCAAGAAACCCAGGTTCCAATCCTGGTTCTACCAACTGTATATATGACCTTGAGCCTGCCCCTTCACTCATCCATAGCTTCGATTTCTTTGTCTGTGAAAAGGGAGGGTTGAGCTAAATAGTTTCTGATCTACCTCCGTCCCTAAAACAGCACCCCTCCAGCTCACGTGATCTGGCAAAGTTCTTGGGCCCCATCTGTTGGTCAGCTGCAGGACTGCAAGGCTATGCGACTATTCATTCCCAGTTGTTACCTACTACCCAGTGGGCCAGATTTTCCAGTTAATCATCTCCCTTCCATCGGTGTGGAGGACCACCCAATTTGGACTCTGCTCCTCTTGTCTCCTTCCTAGTTTCCCTCTCTCTTTTTCCTGAGAAATTCCCTCATACTTTGTCACTTTTCTTTCAAATTCCTTCTCAAGACTTCTCTCTCAGATAGCTGACAAGAGGGAACAAATGGTTGGGGCAGGTGAGAGCACGCTAGGTCAAAGGCACTTTCTTACCTTAAACTGCTCCTCTTCGTATGATACCAGCAGTTCTCGGGCTCTTTCTGCAAACAAAATGGGGAGACATATAGGGTGGCCAGCCCAGTCCCCTGCTGGGACGCTGAGACCCTCTCACCTCATTTCTTGAGTTGTAAATTGGGAATTAGAATTCCTTCCCCTCCTACTCCACAGGGCTCAAGGCAGAGGCAAATGTGATAGCCACTACAGTATGGAAACTAGCCAGGAAGATGATTTGTGACAGTAATTTTTTAAGCTAGGACTCATAGTCCTAGAGGAAATGCTGAGCCAGGGAAGTAACCAGTGCTAAACCTAAGCTTGTACTTTCTAGGCTCATGGGCCCTTCTCTGCCCCCAAGGATACCTACCATACAACTCTTTATGTCTCGCAGTCTTTTCCAAATGAGAATCCACCTCTTTGCTGCCTTTGCTGTCTTCATCATCCCTGACATCCAACTTTACACCTTTCCCATTGGCCTGAGGCTCTGGTCTCTGTTCTGTGATGTCATCAACGATGATGTTCTTATCTTCTTGGTCCTCTTCATCTGTCTCTTCCCTGTCTTCCTCCAACTCCCAGGTCTCTCTCAGGCTGTTCTCCAGTTGGCGGCACCAGTAGGTCTTCTGGAGCCAATCCAGGACAAAGTAGCAACCTAGAGGAGGGGAAGAAGACAGAAGGGGCAAAGGAACAGCCGCAGGTGAGCAGCTAGCAGGCCCCCAGCCCTCTCAGCCCCAAGACTTATCTTGTGAGCATTATGGGAAGGCCCTAGGGAAGAAGCTTGGTTCCAAGAAGGCTCAAATCTCAAATATCCAGAAGCAGCCCCCTGTTCTTTGCTTTCTGTTGCTCACTGGCACCTTTCTTAGAAAAAACTAATATTGGACTTAGAGATGGGATGCCAAAAACATCAAGGGGCTGGTAAGTGGGACAACTAGGACCCAGCCCCACTAGCTACATGGCTTTGGCCAGGTCTCTTCTTTTTTCTAGATCTCAGCTTCCCCATCACAAAGGGCTAGGCTAAATCATGGGTTCTTAATTAGGATGGGGTGGGTGTCTAATGAACTCCTGGGTTCATGACACTGTTGATATCTCACACCTCTCAACAATCCCCCCCTCCCCCAGAATGACGTGGGTGAGGCTAATGAGATACTATCTCAGGAGCAAATTAAGGGGAAACCAAAATACTCTGTAATCAAGGTATCAAAACAGGATCAGAACAGTGCCCTGCCAAGCCATATTGGAGACTGAAGCAAAAGGAGAAATCAATAATACTAATCCTGTTTTTATTTAAACTTTTGACATTTTATTCATTGTGGATTTTTCCACATTAAAATGTTATTTACCTTGATTACTGAGCTTTTGACATCCCCTTAAATTTTGTGCCCAAGGCAAGTGCCTCACTTGTCTCACCCTAATCCTGCTCCTGACCCCAGGTGGAAACCCAACCCCTCTATCCCCAGTGCCACCCAGCCCAGGCCCCTGGGCTTAACTGAGATAGGCATACCCGCTGGGGACTCACCTCTGCGGCAGTCATTTATATGGGGCATTTTTTTGTGGGTCAACTCATGACGAAGTTCCACAATCCATTCTGGAATGTCCACCTGATTGTAGGGGAGGGTTTGAGTACAGAAATTAGAAAATATTAAAGCTGGAAGGGACCCAAAGATGAATTGTCTTTACCACCCATCCCCCCATTTTACAGATAGAGAAACTGAAGTACTAAGAGAAGATTCCAGTCTTAGTGGCAGAGCAATGATTCAAAATGAGGTTCTTTTTTACTGTTCTGTGGAGGTGATTCTTGAAAATCAGAAAAGGAACTCACTTCCCCCAACCACCAACCATCAACCACCCTCTTCCAACAAAGAGATTCCTGTGAATGAGCATTACCAATGAACTTTTCCAGCCTCCCTCTGCCCTGTCCCTCTCCTTGAGTACCCTTTACCCCTCATTCCTCCCACACCTCCTCCAGGAAGCTTCTCTCCATGACTAAGAACACACCTGCCTTCTGGGCCTCTACACACTTCACATACTCACTTAGGGCAGGAATGTCTGGCATCTTCATGCTGCTTGGCTAAGCTGTCTCTTTCCTCAGACTGTCATTTCCCCAAGGGTATGTGCTGTGACTGCCACCTCCTTCCTGTCCCCACCCAGTGGTACATTCGGGCTCCTCAGCTTCACTGGGCCACTCCCAGGAAACTGGGCAGGCCAGGTCCACTGAGATACCACTCATGAGCAAGGGAGCAATTCTGCTTCTTTTAAGCTCGAAGCTGAGGCTTGGGGTTCTTGCTGGGCTTGGCTGGTAGTGATGGGATGTGCTAGTCTGACTGTGTGCCCACATTACCCCATGTCCCACTTAGTGAGCCCTCCTGGAGAGAGAAAATTGAGGAAGGCCACTTTATCATACGCACCTCCTGAGCCAGGAACCTGAGGGGGAGCTTGACATACTTAGTCTTCCTCTCTGAGATGAGATTCACAAACCTGGGGTCAGGGGAGAAATAAGTGGTACAAGCCCAAGGAACTGTTTTACACAAAACATCTTGCTGAGGTACTGACACCCTGTATTTCCACAACCATTCCACTCACTGTCCTGTCATTATGGCTGGTGTCAGCCAGAACAGAAATGATTCCATCCACTCCAATATTTACTGACAGTCTGCTCTGTACTATAGCCATACAGATGAATATGACACTGCTCTGACCTTGAAGAGTTCAGTCTAGGATAAATAATCATGACATGATATAACATATTATGCTAGAACATATGTTATTATTATTATTATTATTTTTTAAAAGATGACCAGTAAAGGGATCTTAACCCTTGACTTGGTGTTGTCAGTACCACGCTCACCCAGTGAGCTAACCGGCCATCCCTATACGGGATCCGAACCCGTGGCCTTGGTGTTATCAGCACCACACTCTCCCGAGTGAGCCACAGGCTGGCCCTAGAACATATGTTATAAGTGCTAGAACAAAGGACTACATCAGATGATATGGGGAGCACAACTAAATGATGGAGAAGGTAAGAAGAGCAAGGGAGGACCTCGAGGCAGACAAGATGAATACTATGAGATGAGCAAAGGCTTTGACAAATGAGAAAACTCAGTAGCAACATTTTTCTTGATGTGTATGAGACAGCTAAAAGCACTATGAGTCACTCTGCCAGTCAGTAACTCCGAGCCCATGTTCTCCACTTCCACAACTCAGCAACCTTTCAGTGTTCATGGTGGAAAGAAGGAGAAAAGGATGGTACTAGGTATAGACAGGGATAGGGTTGGAAAATCCACATTAAATTACGACCACGGATATCGAACCATTCAGAAAAGTTCTTCTGGGTGAGGAGTTAAAAGGCAAGAAAAAATATCAGACTGTTAAAAGCCTGAAGAGACCCACAGAGATCACCAGTTCTGACCAAGACACACCCCCCCCCCAATCCCAAGAGGGAAAAAAAAGTGGAAAAGAGAAGGCTTCCAGGAAAAGGAAAGAAAAAGAGAAATGTGTTGACAAGGGGTACCAAAAGCTGCCAAGTCAAGCAATCACAGGCTGACCCACACTCAGGGACACGCAGGGCTTTTTGCTTCAGGTAGCACCTCAAGTATTATCACATACTTAACACTCCCCTACCCCCATCGCCAAAGCCAACCCCCACCCCTACCCCATGCAGGTCTTACCTGACCAATGCCATGCCATACAGCAGTTTAAGTTCATCCGTGCCCAAGCCACCAGTTACATCCACGAGCTTACAGCGTACCAGGTCAGCGGTAGAAGCCACTGCCAGGGGGAGTTCGTTGCCTAACCTAAAGGGTCACAGTCCAGCACCATCATAACGGCCCCTTACTCTGGTCCACCTTCCACCTCAGAACCTAGGTTGTGGTAGGCTATTCCCATTATATACTGGTTCAAACGTGCATGAACAGACACAAAATAAGAAGGTGGGAAGACAGAGGGTAATGTCTGTGGGATCCAACAGTATACAGAGCATGAACAGCTGGCTAGGGCACACACAGGACACCTAACTGCTGTACTGTCAATCAACAGTTGTGTGGACACATCCCATTCTTTCACCCCGAAACACTGAACCGTTTCTGCTAGAGAAGCCCCTTATCACTTGTTAGTCTGCCCCCAACTCAGTCTTAACAATTGGACTGAAACACCCCACCCAAACATGGTTTTGCAAGCAAGACCCCTCTCCATCCTCCCTAATTCGAATCGGAACTCCACCCTAGGGTGCTAACCTGCTCCTTAAGTCCTGGCTCAGGCTCCACTGGTCCCTCCGGGCCCTCCCCAAGATGGGAGAAGGTCACTTTTCGGAGGTAAGGGTTAAACCTCACAGATATGACAAGAGAATTGTTAAGACATATCCCCTTACTTTCCATCCACAACCGGGATTAGTACAAGAGCTTGGCTGTGACTTTCTCCCAGGCACTTGGGAGAAGAGCAACTTTAGGCAATTTAGGGTAAGACTGGAGAATACAGCCTTATAGGAATTTGACAAAGGAAGAGGTGAGGCCCCACCGGCATGCAGGCAAAAGGGCTGAGCCCACCGCCTTACCTGCTCCTCCACACGGTGATGCGGTTCAGCGCGTACCGTTGCAACTTATGGTCGTCACAGAACAGATAGACCATCACCTGGTCCCATTCGGCCCTGCTGAGCCAGGCGACCACGACGCCTTGGGCCCAAAGTGACGAAGGTCCTTTCCCTCCGACGTATTTTCCGTTCCACGCATTCCACATACGATCCATCTCCCGGGGACCCAGACCTGACTCAGGCCCGGATTCCTACCAGACACTGAGATCGACGCCAAGCCCCGAGCCGCGGTGCTCCGCGAAGCCTTCAGATCAATGTGCTACCCCACTCCAATCCGCCACCGTGCCAGCAGCCAATGGAAGAGCGTGACCCAGACGCAACCCTGCCTTCCAGCGTTAGCGTGGCCAATCGGAACGTGAGGGTTGGGAGCCGACCTTAGCACAGGTCGGGTTATAGCCCGGCTGGCCGGAAGTGTTTTTTTCATAAAGCAACCCCACCGGCAGCAAGTGTTCAGCCTCAAGGTTCCGCTAATTTCCTGGTTGCTAACGGGCTCTGTCCCAGACCGGAAGGGGCGTGTCCGGGCTACAGGAGGAATTTTATTTTGCGCCCCTTGGCGGGCAACAGAGGGATTGTGGTTGTCCGGTGTACTTCCTACAAAAGTGCTTTTAAGTATGCTTTTATTGCCGTTAATCAGACCCTAACCCAGGAAAATACTATGGACACTGAAGCGGGACTACAGAACACATATCTAATATCTAAATAGCTAAAATTGGGTTTAAAAATCGGCTTTCTTGGCGGGTACCCAGGAGCCCTGCCCTCTAAATTGGTACCAGCCTGTTACTGCACAGTGATATGAGTCCTGAGTGACTGGGATGAGAGTTATCTTGAGAGTATAGAGACCTGGGTTCTAGTCTTATCTTAGTTTTGCTACCGTGAGGCCTTAGATAAGTCTCTGCCCTTCTTTGAGTCTCAGTTTTCCCATCTGTATAGTGAGAGTTTTAGACTGGTCTCTAAATTGTCTTCCATAGCTGAAAACTGTAAGATTTTATTCTGCCAACATTCCACTGCTATGTTGGTTTCAACGTCCGCAAAGCTATACTTAGTTTTTCTGCATAATTCCTTGAGATTTGGGGGTTCTGGGGGGGGGGACAATCTTAGAAAGTGTTAAAGAAAAAAATATTCAATGATACTTGTAAAAGCAGGGTAAGGAAGACTTTTTAGGACCATCGTAGTAGGTATAAGGACCACTGAAACAGGGTCTTGCAGTGGGGAAGAGAGATTGGGCTCAACTCCGAATACAGCTTGAGCAAGTGTATTATAAAGGAATTTATAGCCAGGGAGCAGTGTGGGGATCAGTGGATGGAAAATTACTAAGAGGAAACATTAAGGGTAAGGGGGATTCTAGCTAAACCGTCCTAGCAATATTCTTGCTGAAGACAAGCCAGGGGATCAGACATCACCTGAGGGATGGCAGGGATTTGGAACCTGACCAAGATGGGGGCTGGCTAAACTGACTTAGCAGGGTTCATTTGCTAAAACTGGATTTTACAGGAAGTGCACGGATGGGCCTAGGAGAAGGTTCAGAAGCCTGACTAAAGTTTGGACAAGCAAAGAATCTTTGTCAGAAGCCCTTCTGATTTTATAGGTTGGCTAAAATGTGTTTAGGACAGAAGTTATCTTACACTCTAACACTTGAGAGAGAACTGTTGGTAGCAATCTTAACAGCATTGCTGTGAGTGGCTCTTTTACACCTTACAGCAACAAATCTCAATTCATTCTCTGAATGTGCATTTTTCTCCACCCAACTTCTCCTAAGGTGTAGTCTGCCAATGGTTCTTGAATGAGAGTTACTCTGTCCTGAATAGCCATGCCAACTAGTAGGCAGGGTGTCTGCCAGAAACCAAATAGGGTCTTAGCTGTGTGCAGACAAAGAAGTCAGGGAGATGGCTTATATGATTCAAGATACAGTCCAGTCAGAGGAGCTGCCAGGTCTTCAGGAATCATTCATGCACATTTTGGGGGTTTATAGGCTACTAATTTGGGGTAGTACTTTTCAGGTAAAGACCCCTATTTTCCACTTTTATTTCTGTATGGAACTGAAGGTCTCCCTATTCCATGTGTTCCAGGAAAACTTAGCAAAAGCACATAACAAGAGCACCATGCCTAATATGTGGCTAATAAGGCCTAAAAACTAATTTTTTTTTTTTTTTTTTTTTTTTTTTTTTTTGGTGGCTGGCCAGTATGGGGATCTGAACATTTGACCTTGGTGTTACAAGGCTGTGCTCCAACCAACTAAGCTAACTGGCCATGCTCCAGAACTATTGAGAATTAGGAATTAGTAGGTCAAATGTGTTAAAATAGTGGCAACTTTGAGGGAGCACTGTATTCGTTTCCTGTAGCTGTTATAGCAAATTACCACAAACTTGGTGGTTTGAAACAACAAATTTATTCTCTCATAGTTCTGGAGGCCAGAAGTCTGAAATCAGTATTGTTACTGAATTAGGCTCTTGGATCCCAAAGTCATAGAAATGAACAATGCACTGTAGTAAAGCAAGCAATGCTTTATTAAAAGAGGAGATAGACTTATGCATAATGGGGGTAGCTACAGGAAAGCTCCCTAGGAGAGCTGTTCAGGGTCTTCTATAGGGAAGGGGGTTGAAGGTTACAGGCCAGCATCACTGCAGGTCGTCCATTCTGTTCTTCCTGGTTGCTTCATGGGCACATGCTCAGTTAAGGCTTTGGTCCTTGCACCTGCTCAGTAGGTCCAAGATGATGGTGGTGTTCATTAGCATCACCACAGGAGGGTTGTTGTAGTGGTCACCTTGAAGCTTTGTGTGCATGCAGGAATTCCTAACTGTTGTAGCCTGGAAGATATAAGTTTTACTGACAGATTAAAGGACAGGCTAGAGTCTAATAAGGTATGATATTGTTTCCTTCTGAAACATAATTTTCTCTTCAAGTTTCCCCATTTTACTAAAGATATTTATGACAAGACTAATTTATTTGTAAAATTAGTCTAGTTTCCAGCCAGGTTATTTGCACAAAGTTCAGCAAGAATAATGGTTTATCATATAAACACTTTTTGAAGTGGCTTTGTTGAGACTTTTATAAGGAATCTCAGATTAGCCCTTCAAAAGCCTCTTGGGTCTTAGGAAGCCAAGCCAAGGATTTGAGTTACTCTGATTATCTGCATGAGTTGGGTGAATTCCTCTATTCTGGAGGTCCCCAAAACATTGAAGTTCTGGCCTGTCAGAAAGTTACATTCTTTACTTACCACAAGGTCAGGAACCTTGTAATCATGTAGACAAGGTATCAGTCAGGCCAGTCTTCCCAAGGGGCTTTTTATTGGCTCCATAAAAAGGTCAACCTCAATTTCTTAAGGCGGTGTGGTCATATCTGAAAACATGATATTCCAGTCAAAGCCTTGGTAAAATAACCAGTGTTCCTAATTGTGTCCTGTTACAAGAAGAACAAATTCTTATTGAACTTATGCAAATAACTATATTGCCATAAAATAAGAATACTCATGAATAGTTTCAAAATCCTGGAGGGATCAAGTAGAGAGAAAACTAAATGTTTCAATTTTTGTTCATAAATGTGTACTTTAGCAAGCTGTTATGCCTTAAAAGGATTTCTTAAATCTGGAAAATAAAACATTAAAAGAACCAGCAGTTTCAAAATAAAAAAAAATTGTAAAAACCCATAATTCTTTTTATCAGTTCATTCAGTTTTATGTAATTAACTTTTGCTGTTTTGACCTTGGTTAGCAATTTCACAAACCCATCAGTTTCTTCAGTAGAATTTTGGGAATTCAGTCCAATGGTATGAACTCAAAGTTGTCAGGAATCTATCTATACCTATCACAGTTTTTTCCATGAAATTTTTCAAAGATGTAACACTTTAAAATTATAATTGAACCAAGATTGTGACTGATAGCATTTATATCAAGACACAGATTTCTAAAAACCTTACACAATTTTGGAACACGTATTAATAACATCTCAGTATAACACAAAGAAGGTCAAACGTTATTTCTTGTTTTGACAATGTTTCCCATATAGTTTAATCTATCAAATAAGCCAGTTGGTTTTAATACCTCTCTTTTTAGATCCTTGGAATATCTCAAAGTCAGTTCAAGTCAAAAAGACTTAATTTTTGGAATTTGGTTTTGGGAAGTTAATCAAACAACAAAGATTTGAGCATCTAATTAAATAGGATCATAAATTATTGTCCCAACCCGCGGGATAGTCAACACAGATCCTGGAGGGGGGAGTGGGAATGGGATGGAACAAGAGAAATTGAGACAAGACAGTATTCTGATCAAGTCTCGTTTATTGTTACAATCAGGTTTCTTATATAGAAATGTAAAAGAGGAAGAAGGGAAAGAAAAAATAATAAGGCAGGGGTCGTTGAGAAGTTTTCTTGGAATCAGCACATCATCTCGTTCCAAGCAGCAGAAGTTCAGCTCTGAGTGCAGCTTACACAGTTCTTGCGGTCAGCCAAATAGATCTTATCAGCAGTCAAAAATGAGGGCATGCAGTTCTCACGAACTTGCTGGGCCGTAGCCTCAGCTCTTTCCGTGCTCAAGCCCACCGCTACTTCCATACCGGGAAGTCAGCAGTCTGTCCTATTTGGCTCCTTAGCTCAGGGGGTCATCGTGAGGACACACAGTTCCCCACAAATTATTATAAAATAAAACCAAAGTGACAAAAGATTTTAAAGCACAGAGCAAAAGTAACTGTCTTGATAAAACATGGAATAAGTTTCCGAGGCCAATTACCTAAAAGAAAAAAAAACTTTCATAATTTTCTACTAAGAGCAGTTAAGTGCTTTCAGGAAATCTGGTTGTTTCTATGTAGGAGAGCAAACTCTAGCTTTCTATCAGAGTACTTTTGACATTAAAGCTCAGTTTTTAGAAAAGCTTTGTAGTGGATTGAATTATGTTCCCCCAAAACTCCTTGAAGCTTGAATTGTGTCCCCTAAGTTTTATGTATTTGAAACTTGGCCCCCTCTGGGACTGTTAAGAGAGTGGAAAATCCTATTATGGTAATTGAAAGGTGGAGCCTTGAAGAGAACAGTGCCATAGTGAATGGATTAAAAATGGTGGTCAGGGGTGTACTACTGAGGATTTTTAAAGGAGAGAGAGGAAAGTCTGTCTCTGTCTCTCTCTGCTCCACCATTTCACAGTGTGATACCCTGCCATCACTGAAGTCACTACCAAAAAAAGCCTTCACCAGATGTCTTCCATGGACTTTGGACTTCCTAGCCTCTGAAACTGTAAGCAATAAATTTCATTTTCTTATAAATTACCCAGTTTCCTGTATTTT